AACACCAGTCAATCTTAGATTTGGTCATTTAACATAATCCTTGACTCCTTGGAGTCTTTGTTCATATTTTCTTTTTTTCTTTGTCTTTGTTGGATTGGGTTAATTTGAAGACTTTGTCTTTGAGCTCCAAATTTCTTTCTTCTGCTTGTTCTGTTCCATTGCTGAGACTTTCCAGAGCATTTTGCATTTCTGTAAGTGTGTCCATTGTTTCCTGAAGTTTTGATTGTTTTTTATTTATGCTGTTTCCTTGAATATTTCTCCCTTCACTTTTATCGTTTTTTGGATTTCCTTACATTGGGCTTCGCCTTTCTCTAGTGCCTCCCTGATAAGCTTAATAACTAACCTCCTAAATTCTTTTTCAGGTAAATCAGGGATTTCTTCTTGGTTTGGGTCCATTGCTGGTGAGCTAGTGTGATTTTTGGGAGTATTAAAGAACCTTGTTTTGTCATATAACCAGAGTTGGTTTTCTGGTTCCTTCTCATATGGGTAGGCTCTGTCAGAGGGAAGGTCTAGGACTGAAGGCTGTTGGTCAGATTTGTTTGTCCCACGGGGTGTTCCCTTGATGTAGTACTCTCCCTCTTTTCCTATGGATGTGGCTTCCTGAGAGCCAAGATGTAGTGATTGTTATCTCTCTTCTGGATCTAGCCACCCAGCAAGTCCAGGCTCTGGGCTGGTACTGGGGGTTGTCTGCACAGCGTCCTGTGATGTGAACCCTCTGTGGGTCTCTCAGCCGTGGATACCAGCACAGTATTTGGAGTGTCTCTTGGGTCCTACAGGAGCAGTCTGCTTCCTTCAGGGGGTCTGTGGGTCCTCTCAGGTTTCCTGATTTATTCTTGCAGTAGTTCTGGAGCAAAAATTCACAATGCAATCTTCCACACACTGCTCTCTCTGTCCCAAGTTGGAGCTGCAGTCTAGTCCTGCGTCCGGTCCACCATGATCGCCTCAGTCCTCAGAGACTTTTTGTTACTCCTAATTGTCTTTTAATTTAGCTTTTACTTGGCTATTGCAGTCTGTTAGTACTCACTAAGTCATCCTTATTTTCAACAGTTCTTTACTATGCATGCAAGTCTTTTTTGGTACCAGGCAGTGAGCTCTGTGTCTCCAGCACTTACTGTTCATATTCTTATGATAGGTTGGCATAGGAAAAGGAGAAGAGAGGCAACCTTTAAGGAGTAAGGAGGAGAGAGTTTATTAGAGCAATAAATGAATGTTCTTATGGATTCTTGTAGTTTATAAAGTTATTTGGAAGACCAGCTTGAGTTTGCCGCCTACTCTTAGTGGCACTCAAGTGTAGCTATAAAGACTGGGATCTGTTTTTAAGTGCCTAGAAAACTCTGTGTTTATGAAATCTGCATCTGTTGGTGAAGTTTAGCTCATTCATCTTAGACCTCAAACAGCCCTGAAGAACTTAATGCTCACATCTGGTTAAATTCTCAGTGTGTAGTTTGTACGTTTTTCCACAGCTTTAAGTAATGATAGAGAAGAAGTGAATAGGGAATGAATCTCAGAGAAATGAAAGCAACATAGAAACAGAAACAGAGAAATAGTAAGAAATGCATTTTTCAGAGACTGGGCCAAAGGATTCATCATGAAGTTTTAACTTCTAGCAGAAAGTTGAGGAAGAAGAATAAGACTCTTTTCTGAACCATACAAAGCCCTGCAGCTCCTGTCTTCTGGCTGACATAGCACCATCTTTACCCGTCACACCTATAGCCTGGAAGGTAGCCTCTCTGTGTCTGAATTTCTTCATCTGCAAAATGGGATTAAAAAAATAACTGCCCTCGTCTACATGAGGATCACCTGAGGGCCAGATGAAATTATAAACCTGAGACATCTTAAATTGTTAAAAGAAGATTACAAATATTGGGTAATCGTCCTCTCCTGTGTGTATCATTAGACAACCTTGCTTTGGATTATTTGTTTTGTTGGCCATTCTTAGATCAAACCGTAGGTGTTAATCAAGTTTTCTTTGCTCCAGCAACTTTGATTACCACATATTGACTCTCACCTCCTCCTCTTAAAGTAAGTTTCCTAAATCCATTTTCTGTATTTCTGTGTGTACCCACTTGCCATCCACTCTCTTTCTTTGTTAAAAAAAAAAAAAAAACAAAAAAACAAAAACCTTGTTCTCTTTTCGTTAATAAAAGTGCCATTCTCTTGCCTTCAGATTAATGCCATTTACTGTTTAAGTTCATATTGATCTCCTGGCTCCTTTGATCTTAAATCTTTGATTTTTAAGCAGATGCAGGCTAGCATAGTTTTTTTTAGTAGTCAGAGTGTAATGTCCACAGCCCTGACCATTCTGCCTTTCCCATTTTTTCCCTTTGTCATTTTTCCAAGGGCGTAATACCCTCCTGCTGTTTAACACTTGGCTACTCATTGTACCCCGGTATAAGAACAATAGGCTGACCTTTTCCAGTCTACTTCAGAACATCTTTGTTCTATACCCTGTCTCTGAGGATTTTGCGTTTGGGTCATAATAAGTTTATTAACCTTCAGAGACTTACTCCTCCTTTTGAGCTGATGTATATCCATTTTAACAGGAGTCTTCTGGAGAAAAGACCGTAAGAGAATGAAATTTGCTTAGTTAGTGGAAGTTACCCCACAGAAGATAGTAAGCACACAGCCCCTGGAAGTGTTTCTGATCAGGAAGTTAGAAGATTCCTGATCCCTCCAATTCTGAAAAATTCTTGAGTGACTCTAATGGTGGGAGTTTGAAGCACTTTGGTAAGCCGGTTCCAGCGTCTCCACACACCTTCTGTTTGTGGCTCGTTCACCCTGCCTCCATGATACAGACGATTCTTTCCCAGTGGTTGCCACTAGCCTATCACTAAGACTGTCTAAGAGCATTTTCTTGGCAAACCACCATTCTGCATGAAAGGAGAGTCTGGGATTGGGGAAAATGGATTCAACAGCTTATACAGCCAAAGTATATTAATTGTGAGCTTTGTACCTTGGCAATCATTATTTATACAATAAACAAAATCACATGGTTGCTAAGCAACACCTTTCCCTCATTCTTGACCCCAGTGGAGGTATGAGGTATTCAACCTCTGGACTTAAAAAATCTTAAATTCTACTCTGTTTGCAGACATGCTTTAGTGGCCCCGGCAGCAGCAACCTCTTATTTCTGCCCTGTCCTTACCTCCCTTGTCTTGAATCTTGCCTTCCATATCTCCATGAACCCAGCAGCCTGGGTGTTCTTTCAGGGTAACTAATGTCAGACTAGGTACTCCTCAGGCTCCTATGGGGGTCCCCTGTGCACTGAGGCCGCACACCAGGAGTGGCTTCGCTTAAGCCTAATGTGGATGCACATCTAGTCTTCCTCCAGAGGAGAGGCTTTTCCTCTGTATAATGATGAGGGTGCAACAGATCCTGGGTCTAATGTGAATAATGATATATATATCTCATAACAAAATGTGACTTGTTGAAGAGTTCCACATTTGGGAATATGTTTTCTGTGTATGTAGAAATTGAGATGATTTGGAGACTATCTTTGCTAGTAGTAAGGATTGTATTGTTGCTTATAGGAGTGGTCCCCAACCTTTTTGGCACCAGGGACTAGCTTTGTGGAAGACTGTTTCTCCATGGATGTGGGTAGAGTGGGGGATAGCATCAGGATGAAATTGTTCTGCCTCAGATTGTCAGGCATGTCTTAGAGTGCACAACCTAGATCCCTTGCATGCACAGTTCACAATAGGGTTCACTCTCCTATAAGAATCTGATGCTGCCACTGGTCTGACAGGAGGTGGAGCTCAGGTGGTACTGCTCATTCACCCGCCCTTCACCTCCTGCTGTCTGGCCCAGTTCCTAACAGGTCACGGACTGGTACCTGTCCATGTGTCCATGGCCTGGGGGTTGGGGACCTCTTCCTTTCAATTAAAAAGAAATTGTCATTTTACTCTCATAAGAAAGAGAGTTCTTACTAAATTTACCTCCCTTTTTCCTAGAGAATTTTTTCTCCTTCAGTTTTTTTTAATTGAAAAGAAGAGCTTTTTTATGGAGAAAAATCAGTACCTTTTAGGGTACTAAAATTGTTTTATTTCATTCCCATTCTTTCCTAAGGCTTTGTAATCATTTGTGGTAGCCTCTAATAGATAAATAAATGATAGCATTTTACCTTTCATCTTTTACCTGAATTAGAACCATTTAAATAGATATGATAGCTGTTTCCTTGAGCAGTCTAGGATTTTCTGGTTCTTCTTGAACCTAGGACTTAATAACATAATAGGCAAAGGAGAGAGAAGGAGATAGGTAGTGGAATATTAACACCAAGTGACCAAGTAATAAAGGTGGCTGTGTTTGGAATGAACGAAGGACATATATACAACTATGACATTCAGTCATTTCTTTTTCTTTCTAGAAAGTAGTAAATTTCTAAGAGTGGTAAGTCAAGTGTGGTGGCTCACGCCTGTAATCCCAGCACTTTGGGAGGCTGAGGCAGGTGAATCATTTGAGATCAGAAGTTCAAGACCAGCCTGGCCAACATGGTGAAATTCCATCTCTACTAAAAATACAAAAATTTGCCAGGTGTGGTGGTGGGCACTTGTAATCCCAGCTACTCAGGAGGCTGAGGCAGGAGAATTGCTTAAACCTAGGAGGCGGAGGTTGCAGTGAGCTGAGATTGTGTTACTGCATTCCAGCCTGGGCAACAGAGGCATGACTCCGTCTCAAAACAGAAAAAAAAAAATGGTGGGAAGGGATGCTGGTTGCTTTAGCTGTCACGTTGGAGGAGGGAATCACCTTAAATGAAGTTGGAGAAAACGTAAATGGATTTCCATTTTCTTCATTAAACATGTTCTCTCCTCTTATTTTGTTTCCCCTCGGCCTCTCTCTGAATCTACCCTAGTTGATGTATTTGCCTATGCTCCCGTTTTGTTCTCCTGAGGGCTCTTCCAGCCACTGTGGCATGAAGGGTAAAAGCCACAAAGACCTTTTCTTTGGCCATGTCATCTCTTCATTCCCTCTTGGCTTACCCTGTATTTGTTTTATATTTGCAGGTCTGTGGCTGTCCTCTCTATTGGAAAGCCCCCATGTTCAGGGCTGCAGGGGGAGAGAAGACAGGATTTGTGACATCACAGTCATTCATTGCCATGTGGAGAAAGTAAGTATGTGAGCAGTCACTCTGCGGCTAGGCAAAGAATTGTGTGACCGTCATGACATGCTTTCTAAAGGTCACCTACTTTACTTATTTATTCATTTTCCCTTTACCCTTTATATCAACAAAGAAAATTCAATGATTTATAACCATTGTTACCCACACACAAGTTATTTGCCACAAGCCTTTATCTAACCTCTTTAAAAAACAGTAAAGCAGATCTGCAGAAATCTTTCTTTAAAAACTATTTGATAAGTTTTACTTGGGTTTTCTTGTTTGTTTTTTATTTTTGTTTTTTTGAGACAAGAGTGTCACTCTTTTGCCGAGGCTAGTGTGCAGAGACCCAGTCATAGCTCACTGCAGCCTCAAACTCCTGGGCTCAAGTGATCGTCCTACCTCAGCCTCCTAAGTAGCTAGGACTACAGGCATGTACCGCCACACCTGGCTAATTTTCTATAGCAACTGGATCTCACTCTGTTGCCCAGACTGGTCAGAAACTCCTGGCCTTGAGCAATCCTCCGAGCTCAGCTGCCCAAAGTGCTGTGATTACAGGTGTGAACCCCACACCCAACCAATTTTACTTGTTAAATTTGGGTCTCGGGATTTGAATCCGGCAGCAGTCAAATAGAAGCAAATAAGAACTCCCCTTTAAGGGGGGCAAATCAGATGTGTCACATGAGAAATACATTTTCATTCCCATATGATCCAATTTGGAATTATATCTAGTTGATTTATTAGAAATACTGAATTCGAATAGATTTTAATCATTACTTTTTGAAAGCCCCAGTTAAGTAAACAAAGGACTAGTATATTTATCAAGCTTTTCCTGGATTCTAACATTCTGACAAATTTTCTTGAATTCAAACCCAATATCTTTCTTCTTTATCTCTTTTTTCTCCCTTCTTTAGGAGTTATTTCTTGGTATATTTATACATCTTAGCTAAGTATCACAGCTTGCCCCTTCTGCCTCTTTTAACTGATTAGCACCCTTGTTATGCGTGTTCTTCTTGCCTTTTCTGAGCTAAATATCCTTCCTGGTAAACTATTGGGAAATGCTACTCACCTATTGTTATTATTATTTAACGTCAACCTACAATAACAGCAGATTGAACAGACAGATTCTTTCTGATTTCTTCATTTCAGATAAAAGCCCTTAATAGGGTAATGCTTGAGAATATAGTAGGTGATAAATAAATGTATTCTTACTTTTAAAAATCTAGCAGCAGGTCAAGTTCACCAAGTTCCTCATACATTACATTAGAACTAAAGAGTATGTTGATGGAACATGTTCTCATAAATGAGAACTGAACAATGAGAGCACACGGACACAGGGAGGGGAACAGCACACACTGGGGCCTGTCAGGAGGTGGGGTGAGGGAAGGGAGAGCATTAGGAAAAATAGCGAGTGCATACTGGGCTTAATACCTAGCTGATGGATTGATAGGTGCAGCACACCACCATGACACATGTTTATGTAACAGATGTGCACATCCTGCACATGTACCTTGGAACTTAAAAAATTTAAAAAAATTTTAAAAAGAGTATATGTTGGTGAATAGATCAGCAGCCGCCACCACAACAGCTGTATTCTTTTATTCAGATGAATTGTTTAAATTTTATCTGTAAGGAAGACATTTCTGCAAAACACAAAAAGCAGGGGAAAGACATGAAGTACAAGTCTCCATTTTGGTTAACTGCAGGAAAATTGCTTATGAAGTTATATAGCGCGAGCAACTATCCCTATCTTTTTTTTCATCAGAAAAATTCTATGAATAGTTAAGTGTGTCTCTAAATTAAACTGTTATTTTACAGTCAGATATTAAAATGATTTGAGTGCCCTCTAGTGGAAACTCCTCTTTGAGTTCTTAAAATGTCTTTTAAAAGCCAGGGTGCTTTAAGGGAGCCCCGAGTGTGGCTATTTTGGGAGACTAAGCAGCTAAGCTTGGTGGTGTGGGTTACCACACTGACCTTGGAGAAGACGTGTTTAGTTTTGAAATTTTTTTTTTCTACAAATTGCACCCTTTGTGTAAAGCAATGTGGGCTCAAGTATAGTATATTAAAACTTTTAAATACAAAAAAATTGCTAACAGGTAATGATACAGAATTAAAACATTTTGGAGAATACATATATATGCTGACTTGCTCCAGGAGCTCTCCATAATCTTTAAAAAAAAAGTCAAATATAGAAATCATAAGAATATAGGGAAATAATTTCCCTCATGTCAGACTGCTCATGGGGTGGAGGCCTCAGTATCTCTCCTCCAAAGGGTTCTTTCCCACTTCCTTTCCCTGTGCCACTGCCCATTTCACGTCTATACTCTGACATACATTTTTCATCAGGACATTTTTAGGAGAAAGACATTGCTCCATAGCGTTTCTTTTTGAGGTCCTAGAGTATCAGCTTTTGGGCAGAACTCATCTCAAATGGAATCAATAATGTTGCTTCAGTTTTATTATGCTTTTCTTTCTTTTATCTTTTCATCTAAATGTGTCATTTGTCCATTAACAAAATAATATTTTGTGCTAAAAGTTCTGAAAGATACTAGTTTAGAATAGCTATGCTTACCTTCATTCTTTAGCTTTCATGACTTTTATCTTTTCTCCTGCCATAGAGTTGACCAGCCAGTAACATTGATAGAAAATTATAATTCACCTTTTCTTTCTATTTCATAGCAAAAGACCATTTCTGATTTTACTTTGTCCTCTCAGAGTAGCTCTCATCTGTCATGTCTCTGCTATTTCTGTATCTTACTATTCTGTTTTATATATAAAAGTAGTTCTTTTGAAAGACCTCATTGTTTTTCTACTGTGATCATCCCACCCATTTTCTCATCCTGAGAGGTGGTTCCTATTAGCATCTATTGCGGGAATCTTTTTCTGAAACACGTGTTTTTTTAACTTCAGGAGCCTTAAGCATGTTGAGGAATGGTAAGGAGAATAAGTATAAAAATCATACTGTAGCTCTAATAAGCACAAATGAAGTATACATCTGTTTGATCAAAAACATTTTCTTATTTTTCTTCCTTAATCACTTGTTGAATGCTAACTATATGCCAGGTATTGTGTTCTGGCCTTGAGGGTGGTTGGGATACAAAGAAAGTAAGACACAGTTTTATACCCTGTAGAGAGCTTACAATCTAGTGAAAGAGTTCCACCAAGCCATGTTTGCTGGCTTGCACCTGTAATCCTAGCTACTTAGGAGGCTAAGGTGGGAGGGTTGCTTGAGCCCAGGACTTTGAGGCTGCAGTGAGCTATGATCATGAGACTGTACCGCAGCCTTGACAACAGAATGATACCCTGTCTCCAAAAAAAGAAAAAAAAAGACAAAGATGTGAAGATGGCCAAGAAGACACAGCCAGGAAGAGCTTCCCTTTCCTACCAAGAGAAACCAAAATATCGAGTAAACCAGCATACTTTGAACAGATTTTTTAATAGAAAGCACTAACAGTCAGTGGAGAGATGATGCAGTCACTGGGGCTGAAGAGGGAGGAAACTGAGAACACTGCATGGGCTCTGAATGGCTCCTAAGGAAGGGGTAAAAGAAGTAACTGCAGAGCAGGCCACCCTCACTGTGGACCTCTGGGATCCTAGCTGCAAGAGATCCCATGGCCACCATTGACATTTGAGTTGGCAGGGAAAACAGATTGGAGAGCTGGCAGAGACAGAGCTCAAGGCTGTACAGAGCCCACAGGGTTTTGCATGGGAATAGCTGCAACAAAACACTACCGTAGGCATCTATTTCCCCAAGGCTCTCCATATTCCTCTAAGGCTCTAACCTTTGTTGACTGCCAGACCTGGAGAGCAGGGCTGTCTTTCCCACAGGACCAGGGCACATCTGATCCGTTCACTCCCATGTCCACCAGCCCCTCCCAGGGCCCCTGTCTGACTGCACCCATAGGAGTGGGCACACAGCACAGCCTCCACTGCCCTGCGAGAGTGCTTTTGCCAGTGGCCCCCAATGGAGCGCTTTTGCTGGTGGCCTGGGAGCACTTTGGCTCACCCAGCACAGCTGGTGCTCCACCTCAAGGAGCCAGAGAACAAAGCTACCGGCCTGGTCCCAGGCCCCCAGGGTTAGAGCACAGTCCAGAAGTGCCAAGCTGAAACTTGTGGTTGGAACTCAAGTGAAGGAAGAACCCTCACTCTCAGAGCACTGGGAAGAGTGAGGCATGGGTTGATGGGCTGGCACAGGTATTGGGCCGCAGCCTCTCCCCAAGGGAACCTGACAGTCTGGAACACCTAATAGCCCAGTGGTCTGGGTGCAGAAGTCTTGTGACAAACTAGCTGGCTGGGCCAAATTCTAGGCAGTAACCAGGAGACCCTGTCAAGGAAACGCAAGCTGGGCAGTTCTCACTGCTGTCTGCTGGCCAAAAAAACCTAGGCTGTGGGCACCACACCAGCTGCACAGCCAAGACAGCATCGCCTTACCCAGGGATCCCTCGCCCTTGACCTACTGCATGAACAGACCACCCACAGACATACCCCCTAACCTGCAGTCTACCTGGCAGCCCTTACTATTAAACGCTATCTCCTGGGTTACAGCTTGAATTACACCACCAAAAAATTCTAGCATGAATTGCCTGAGAAAACCCAGTACAGAATTCTGACCACAAATAAAGATCCCATACAGGCCAGGCACAGTGACTCATACCTGTAATCCCAGCACTTTGGGAGGCCAAGGCAGTAAGATTGCATGAGCCTAGGAGTTCAAGACCAGCCTAGGCAACATAGTGAGACTCTGTCTCTACAAAAAAAATAGCCAGGCATGATGGTATGCACCTCTGGTCCCAGCTGCTTGGGAGGCTGAGGCAGGAAGATCGCTTGAACCCAGAAGGTTGAGGCTGCAGTGAGCTGTGTTCACGCCATTGTACTCCAGCCTTGGTGACAGAGCCAGACTCTGTCTCAAGAAAGAGAAAATTGTAATCCCAGCACATTGGGAGGCCAAGGCGGGTGGATCACCTGAGGTCAAAGTTCAAGACCAGCCTGGCCAACATGGTGAACCCCATCTCTACTAAAAATACTAAAAATTAGCCGGGAATAGTGACAGGCACCTATAATCCCAGCTACTCCAGAGGCTGAGGTGGGAAAATCGTTTGAGCCTGGGAGGCGGAAGTTGCAGTGAGCCGAGGTCACACCATTGCACTCCAGCCTAGGCAACAAGAGCGAAACTCCGTCTAAAAAAAAAAAAAAACAGAAAAGATCCCATACAGAGCCTTGGCCCTCTGAAAGCATCCAGAAATAAAGCCAATTGGCTGTACTCAGCTTACACCACAGTCAAACCCTCAAAGGAAATAAAGTAAAAAAAAAAAAAAAAACTCCATCCAAAGGATAGCAACATCAAAAGATAAAGGAACGCCTGCCCTCACAGATGAGAAAGAACCAGCACAAGAATTCTGGCAATTCTAAAAACCAGAGTGTGTTATTACCTCCAAATGATCTCACTAACTCCCCAGCAATGGTTGTTAACCAAATTAAAGCAGCTGAAGTGACAGAATTCAGAATCTGAATGGTAAGAAAGCTCAATGAAATACAGGAGAAAGTTGAAACTCAACCCAGGGAAAACAGTAAAATGATCCGAGAGTTGAAAGATGACACAGCCATTTTAAGAAAGAACCAAATTGAACTTCTAGAATGGAAAAATTTACTACGGGAATTCCATAATACAACTAGAAGCATTAATAAAGGAGCAGATCAATCTGAGGAAAGAGTCTCAGAACTCAAAGACCACTCCTTTGAATCAATGCAGGCAAACAAAAATAAAAAAGAATTTTAAAAAATGAAAACTCTCAGAAATATGGGATTATGTAAAGAGACTAAACCTATAACTCATTGGCATTCCTGAGAGAGAAGGAGCAAGAGTACGCAACTTGGAAAACATACGAGGATATAGTCCACAGAAATTTCCCCAGTCTCACTAAAGAGGTGGACATGGCTGAACTCCATGGAGCAGTGTGGAGATTTCTCAAAGAACTGAGAGTTTACCTTTCAATCCAATAGTTCCATTACTGGGTATCTACCCAAAGAAAAATAAGTAAAGACTTATGCACCCATATGTTCATGGAAGCACTGTTCACAATTGCAAAGACATGAAATCAACATACATGCCATGCCCATCAGTGGTAGACTGGATAAAGAAATTGTGATACAGGTACACCATGGACTACTAAGCAGCCACAAAAAAGAATGAAATCATGTTCTTTGTAAGTAACACGGATGCAGCTGGAGACCATTATCCTAAGCAAATTCACAGAAACAGAAAACCAAATACCACATGTTCTCACTTATAAGTGGGAGCTAAACATCAAGTACACTGGACATAAAGATGAGAACAGGCCGGGCGCGTGGCTCACCGCCTGTCGTCCAGGCACTTTGGAAGAACTGGAGGCATGTTAGATCACGAAGTCAGGAGAATCGGACCATCCTGGCTAACACAGTGAAACCCCGTCTCTACTAAAATACCAAAAAATCAAAAAAAAAATTAGCTGAGCGTGCGGTTGGCGGGCGCCTGTAATCGCCAGCTACGTGGAGGCCTGAGGCAGGAAATGCGATGAACCCAGAGCTTTCAGTAGTGCAATGATCGGTGCCGCCTCCAACCTAGGCAACAGAGCGAGACTCTGTCCAAATTTTTTTAAAAAAAAAAAAAAAAAATGAGAACAGTAGACACTGGGGAATACAAGAAAGGGTAGTGATGGAGGGAGCAAGGGCTGAAAAACTACCTATTGGTATGTGCTCACTACCTCAGAGATGGATTCATTCATACTCCAAACCTCTACATCATTCAGTATACCTTCATAACAAACCCTTACATGTACCCCTGAACCTATAATAAAAGTTGGGGAAAAAAAAGAGTTATTCCAATAAGGTTATGCTACTGTGGAACAGCCATGACAGAAATAATAAGGACATGAAAGGACACAGGAGGCCAGTGATATTTCCTGGAAAGTGAAGTAAGGGAAAAGGGTATTGTGGTAGGACGGTAGCATTTACAAATACCTGGTGTGAGAAGGCATGGAACATTTGTGCAACCACAAGTGCAGGAATGGTTAAGAGAAGGGGACATGAGCAGGTAGGATCAGATTCTGGAGGCCCTTCTATGTCAGGTCAAGAAGCTGGGACTTTAGGCCGGGTGCTGTGGCTCACACCTATAATCCCAGCACTTTGGGAGGCCGAGGTGGGCAGATCACGAGGTCAGGAGATCAAGAACATCCTGGCCAACATGGTGAAACCCCCATCTCTACTAAAAATACAAAAACTAGCCAGGCATGATGGCATGCACCTATAGTCCCAGCTACTCTGGAGGCTGAGGCAGGAGAATTGGTTGAACCCAGGAGGCGGAGGCTGCAGTGAGCTGAGATTGTGCCACTGCACTCCAGCCTGGGTGACGGGCAAAAACTCTGTCTCCAAAAAAAAAAAAAAAAAAAAGCTGGGACTTTAGCCTACTTGACAGAAGAATTTTAACTTGGACAGTGACGTGATCAAATGTGTTATTCAGAAATATCAAGCAACAAACAAGAGCCTAAGAATGGATATTGGCAGTGGGAGACAGAAAGGGGCAAATTTGGTATAAATGAAACAGCATGGTAGTTGATAGGTGTGGAGGTAAAAGGAAGGGAGAAGTTCATGACAACTCCCAAGTTTCTAGCTTGAACCATTGGATGCTTGGAATACTAGATGAGGTAACTGGAGTCCTGAGGAATGTTTCCTGAAAATGTTTTAGACAGCTGTTCCTTCCTTTCTGTTTCCATTGTACCATCAAGGTCAAGGCCTTACTACTTCATGCTAGACCACTGGAAGGGAAGAGGGTCTGATAGGCTTCAGTACTCATCCAGCCTTATGTCATAGACAGCTCATCATTCTAAAACATCCTTTGATTATATAAATTCCTTACTTGATTATTGATCTAAGTGGCCTTCAGATGAAACTGAAATTAACTATTGATATTATCATCATTGTTTGTTCAGAGGAGCTAATCTTCCTAAGCAGTTGTTTCTTTTATAGGTTGCTGAATAACCATCATGATGATGCCTCTAAATTCATCTGTCTTCTAGCAAAGCCCAACTGCAGCTCTCTAGAACAGGAGGATTTCATCCCTCTACTTCAGGTAATTTTCATTTCCTTTTGAAAATGGGTTCGAATTTTGGAGTTTCAGCAATTTTGTTTAAAATTTGCAACTATAACATGTCAATTGAGCTACACAAATCTAGAGATCAGATTTCTAAAAGAGTGGTTTTCAAACTTGTTTTAGCAGTAAGATCCTCTCGTTAAATGACATCTAAAACAGAACCCATAGTAGTAGAAGAGCTACTCCTTCAGGGCTACTCCCACTGAAGCAGAGGAGAGGGGCTACTCAGCCACCCCTTTGCCAACCCACAGCAATCACTGAGGCGCCTTCTGAAATGATAGAATGCAAGAAGATAACTTCTCTGTTAGTGTAGAACATAGCTAAGAACCTGATAGAAAGAAAGAAAAGGTCATGATGTAACTGGAATAAATAATACAACTAGAAGCATTAATAAAGGAGCAGATCAATCTGAGGAAAGAGTCTCAGAACTCAAAGACCACTCCTTTGAATCAATGCAGGCAAAC